GCTGCCAAGGCCTTGCCAAGGTTGTTTACATTTTTCCCTTTTGGGTGGCCCCAAACAAACCGCGAGAAAAGGGAGGAACGATGGACAACCCTTGCAGGCTGGGTATACGCCGACAAATATTCAATAAATACTCACCATCACACGATCTGTTAAACAAATTTAAAATATATCAATCTGATTCTCCGTTGGGATTTGTATACAAACGGATCCCGTCTAGCAACTGGTATTGGATATTGGGTATCAGGCATTGACTGTTGAATTTTGCAGAGATCTCCAATCACACACTTTATGACCCACGCTGCAGCCGACATTCTCCTGAAATAACAGGTACCCTTATCTGTTTCTCATGGCCGGAGCAAGACGCTCTCAGGCCCCTCAATGCTTGCGAAGGGGCATGGTACGCCCGCGTCAAACCACCAGAGCCTCCGTTCTCACGGAGCGAGAAGAGTCCCCCACCACCGCTCGAAGGCCGTCAAATGCCAATGCCTCCCGGGTGTTGCGATCGCCCAGCGTGCAACTATCTTGTGGGCTGAAGCGAAAGGAAAGGGAGTTTGAGCCTCAACCGGTCGAGAGGACAAATATCCATGTTGTTGTGCGGTGTCGCGGTAGAAATGATCGAGAAGTAAAGGAGAACAGTGGGGTGGTCGTGTCAACGAAGGGTGTTAAGGGGACAAATCTCGAATTGTCCATGGGCCCAAATGCAATGGGAAACAAAGAATATCATTTTGATAAGGTGTTTTCTCCAGCTGCTGATCAAGTGGTAATTTATGAGGATGTTGTGTCTCCGATTCTAAATGAGGTGGATTTTGCCCTTTTTTTTTTTCTTTTTTTTCATTCTCCTCAGGCAAAGAATATATTTACGGCAATATTAGCAGCTGACAGCGATATTACAGATGCTTTCCGGATTTAACTGTACAATATTTGCTTACGGCCAAACTGGAACCGGTAAAACCTATACGATGTCTGGTGATATGGAGGATTCTCTTGGTCTACTGTCGGACGCTGCTGGAATTATTCCGCGCGTGCTCTATTCTCTATTTAAGAAGCTGGGAGATATGGAAAGCTCTGTCAAATGCTCATTTATTGAGCTGTACAACGAAGAGCTTCGAGACCTTCTCTCCTCAGAGGATGGTGCAAAGCTCAAAATATATGATGATGCCGCCAAAAAGGGGAATCACAACACGACGGTGCAAGGCCTGGGTGAGACTTACATCCAGTCGGCTTCTGAAGGTATTAAGTTGCTTCAAGAAGGTAGCTTCAAACGTCAAGTAGCGGCTACAAAATGTAATGATCTCAGTTCCCGGAGTCACACGGTATTTACTATTACAGCATTTGTGAAAAGGAAGACAGAAGAGGGCGACGAATACATCAGCAGCGGCAAACTAAATCTAGTCGACTTGGCTGGAAGTGAGAACATTCAGCGGAGCGGCGCCGAAAACAAGAGAGCAGCTGAGGCGGGCTTAATCAACAAGAGCTTGCTCACCCTTGGAAGGGTGATCAATGCCCTCGTAGACGGAAGCCCGCACATCCCATACAGGTTTGTTTCCTTCCAACTTGCGATTATAGCTAGTTGCTAACACCCACTAGAGAATCCAAACTCACCAGGTTATTACAAGATTCCCTGGGTGGCCGTACAAAAACGTGCATTATCGCAACAGTCTCCCCTGCAAGAAGCAACCTCGAAGAAACTGTATCCACGTTAGATTATGCTTTCCGCGCAAAGAATATTCGTAATAAGCCCCAGATCAACTCCACTATCTCCAAGAAAACCATGCTTCGAGAATTTACAACGGAGATTGAGAAACTAAAGACTGAGCTAATCGCGACACGGCAACGCAATGGGGTTTACCTTTCTCCTAGTGCATATGAGAAAATGACAATCGAAAGCGAGTCGCGTCGAATACTCTCTGAAGAGCAAAGAGCGAAAATCGAGACTATGGAAGCAAACCTGAAAAATAAAGTTCAAGAGCTCTTTTCCTTGACTAGCAACTTTAATGACTTGAAAAAGGATAACGAGTCTACAAAGCTTTCACTAGAACGAACAGAGGATCTCTTGGAGAAAACAGATCTTGTGCTCAGACACACCAAAAGAAACTTGGAGGAGGAATCCATGCTACGAAGGGCTCATGAAGATACAGAAGAAGAGCTGCACGAAATTGGCAGTTGTCTGATATCAACATTAGGCAAGTCAGTCTCCGACGTGAACGGATTACATTCCAAGCTCCGACGCCGCTCAGATCTTCACTCTCTGAACCGGGAATTGTGGCTGTCTTCTACATCAGAAGTGTTGGATTTCTCGAAAATCGTGGATGATAGAATAGCGGCATTCCAACGCCAACAATCCAAACTGCTCCAAGATTTTTCAGTAAGGATGGAAAGCTTTGTCACGAAGGAGTTAGACCGAGTCGAGTCCTGTCGTTCGCGTATTTCAGATGCGGAAGTATCATTTGGTATCATCGAAATGGAAACTAAAGAGCACACGACTGAGTGCCGGGACGAAATGAATGAAGTGCTCGAGGAGATCAAGGTGCTGCGTGATGATGTAAAACAGAAAGTTGTCGAGGGTCTGAGTGGACTCTCCACCGCCGCGGAACGCATATCAGCTGAAGTAATAAATGAATTGGGCCAATTCCATACAAAGGTTAGTCGTGTAGTTTAATTCCAATTACCATGTCTGCTAACGAACATAGTTACATTCATCGTATATATCACTGGGCGAGGAGTTAAAATCCGTCATTGACACAATTGTCTGTGGTCTCCGTTCTCAAAAAGACGATATCGTGAATCTTCGAATGCAAGTCCATGAAGCGAACAACCGAGCGGCCAAAGCAAGCGAAGAAGCCGCATTAAAACTGCAGGCCACTCTGTATGAAGAGCGCTCTGCTGTAAAAATGGATCGCGAAGCTCTGTTATCCGATATCAAAGCCCTCTTGGATAAGTCAGGTGAAACTCAAGCGGTACGGCTCGATACCAAAATGAATAATCTTCGCTCACATATCGAAGCCTCTCACACCTCCTTGAAAGAGGCAGATATTAAATTCGGTGAGAGCATGGATTACTTGGAGCTACAAGAGGACGAAATCATCTCTCAAGCCTTTGAATCTGAGGCAGCCGTTAAACGGGTCATCGACAGAGATTGGAATGTAAGATGGTATAATCAAAACATGCGTCCTTTTATCATGCTGACCTTTGCTAGGCTTTTGATTCCCGAAATAAAAAAATCCAGGAGACAGCAAGAGCTGTATATCAAGAGACGGAGAAGATTGTTAACACTCAGGTGGAAGGGATTGTTACGCAAATGCAAGCCTTGGATACTTTTGTCTTGAGAGCAAGGTTGCAAAACGATTGTCACCACGAGTCGCGAGTTAATACCTTGGAGACCCTTGGTAAATGTATTCGCCATTCCTATGCAGGCATACAGGGCAGCGTAGATGTCTTTGGTACCCAGGCTAGAGCCTTCTGTGACGATGTTCTCAACGACAACAAAGCTATACAGGAACCTATTGACAATCTCACTCGGGATGTCAGGAAGCCTCTAGCGGACTTACAATCAAACGTTCGAGCAAAATCACTTATGGAATACACCAGCACTGGAGAGACCCCCCAGAAATCGCAGTATGATTACCCATCCACTCTCCCGCAAACCGAACCACGAGACGTCCTCATCGCCAGATTGAGAGGAGCCAAGGAACCTCGAGATATCGCAACGGTCGTTGAAGCTTCTCCAAGTTTGCCTTCTCTACGTATCTGCTCACCGATTACGTTTTCTACCAAGGCTATGGTATATCATGATGGCAACGAGGTAGGGCTCAACAATCCTCTCAATGTGAACGCCAAGCCAACATTTCCCTCGTCTGCGGGGCTTAGGGAGGTCGATATAAACGTCGCCGTGAAACCAACTCCTAGTGCTGGTGTCGTGCCACCGAACGATTTCCCGTCGTCGGTCACATCAAACCTGGAAGAAACAACAGGGAATGTGACATGCAAGGACACTATGCCTCGGCCATCGAAGAGACGTATTACCTCTTCTCCTTTCACTACATCTGGTTTTACTATTAGAGATAGCAAATTGCCCCAAATGATAGGGGCTTGGAGGAACCCTACCCCTAACGGTCTGGGGTTGATTATGGAAGGAAGCGAAAACATCCCGTTGCTACAACTCGAGAACCAGGTGATGAAGGGTACAAGGCTTAGCACTCGCCATCCGTGATTTACAAGTTTTGATATCGATTGTAGACTTAGTTTCATTTGTACGTACAGTTCTTATTCCATACGTAGATTCCCGGGGCTTAGATTTGGTATTCTTATTTGTTTCCCTTTCTCTTCTTTTCCTTTCTTTGCTTTGCTTTCTTTATTTTTTTAAAAATTGTTTTCTATTATTTTTCATATTTATTTTTCCTTTTATCCTTTCCTTTCTTTTCTTTTCTTTTCTTTTCTTTTCTTTTCTCTTTTTTTTTTTTTTTTTTTTTTTTTTTTTGGGGGGGGGGAAGACAAAATCAAATTAAAGGAGGGGAGTCGGCGGGGAGGCGTTTAGAGGTTGTTGAACAAACGGTAATTGGGGTTAAAGTTTTGGTTTTCCCCTGAGCATACTTTTTTATACTCTTTGACAGTTGGAATCTCACTGATTTTTCGATGTAAAATTTACTAGCACATACTTCATGTTGACATCCTATATTGACGAAGTGAGAGATTTGAGGTGAACGAGAATGAAATGTAATATTCAATCAATCAGATGATCCTGTACTGAACGCCTGGCTTATTCTAAAGCTGGTTAAATAAGCCGCCCACATTTCACGTCATTGAGCGTCATGCTTTCAGAGCTAAATACAAGAGAAAAGGGGGGGAAGAAAAAGGGGCTACACATTCAACTCAAATCGGCCCACTCGGGTAGGGAGCATCCAAAACAGGAAATTTAGGCATAGACGTAGATGTGGATGTAGATGCGCTTTGCCCTAGACACCCTAGCCCAGGGACACATTCGAGCTTTAGCTCTTAAACAACTACCCTGCTTCCACTTCCTCAGCTGTAGCCTCAGCAGCCTTTCCGCCCTTCACGGCTCCGGCCTCGGTAATCAACCTCAACTCATCCATCCGTTTCTCAAACTGCTCTATCATCTCTTCCAAACTCTGCTGGGTCCGTGGAGATCGACTACTCGACATGTTAAAGGTTATGCCCGATGTGCCTTCAATCTCCAGCATCAAGCCACCCATCGACGAAGAGGAGTTGTTCGCAGATGTTGTTGGTGTTGGTGTTGTTGTTGTGGTGGAGGTGACAATAGCGGTGCCCTTGGTGGAGGTAGGGCTATTTGAGGAGGAATCGAAGGTGGGCGCTGGGCAAAGGCGTATGTTAAGGACTTGCCAGGACGAACTTAGGCTGTGTGCAGAGGTTATATCGAATGGATAGAGGTGTTGTAACGCATTATTGATGGGTTGGGGTGTTGCCGGATTTAGTTTTGGTTCTTCCGCAAAAGTGGTTGGTGCAAAATTTGTTGTGTCTTCAGTATTTGTAGCTGTGACTTCTTGGGTAGGAAGAGCGTTACGCTCGGAGTGGGAGCGTTGCACATCAAGGACGATGTAGTGTTCCTGTACCCCCAGAATTGGGCGAGGTAGGGAGGACGCCTTCGTATTGTCGGCCTCTAGGTCTTCATCTTCATCATCGTCTTCTCCATTCCTTCGCCGGAGAAGTGCATTGCTCGAGGCTCGTGGAGAGTTGTTTCCCTGGCTGGATTCCAAAGCCCGTAGAGCAGCCTCTGTTATTAGGTCGGTGTCATCGTCAGAAAATATGTAGTGGACAGTGGGATGGTAATATTCCGACGAGTGAACGTCCTGGACTAGCGTAAAGAAGGGACGAAAAGGGAGCTGGTGGGATTCTAGAGATTTAAAGTCTTCCTGACGAGCACCGCTATCATTTGGTCTGTCAGATAGAGCGGAGGGTCGTATATTGCCACCCAGTTGCTGGTCCGATGCCGGTAAATGAGGATCAGGGCTGCGAGGTGAGGTCATTGCGGGTATGTTATATTAAGGCTGCATTTGGTAAAAGGAGGCAGGTTAGAGGTATTCTCCAGGAGGCGAAGTCTAAGACTGTGAGTTGACGTGGGTAAGGATTATTGACTACTTACAACGGATGTGGTCCACTTGTTGCTCCACCTGCTGCACGTGATCTAGCTATAGCGTAGCTGTGGGATGGTTAGTCTTCCATTGGTGGGAGGACTGGCCAGCTAACTGATATACGCGTACATCACGTGAGGTGGTATAGCTACTGGGTGGTTATGCCCATCACCCCCCCATGCACCAACAGGTGAGATGTCTCTATGTAATCAAAGCTAGCTATATCTTATCCTAGAATTTAACTGTAACATGCTATATGCAAAATATTTAAACACTGCTGTTTCTAAAGACTAATTCTGTTTGCTGTTATTTTCTTCATGAAAATATAGTTAATTTATTGAATTAAGTATTGAATTCATTAACTGTTATTATTACATCTCTATAATTATAAAATTAAGTAATATAATTGATTACTTTAAACACATGACAGATATTATTTTTCAAATTTCATTCAACAATCTTATAAATGAAGCTTTGTGATGTCTGAATTATGATAAATATAATACCATTTAGAGTATTAATAATAAAATATGATGAGATGATTGAGAATAATTCAAATCTTAAGCTTTGATCTTCTAGCTTCATAAATGATAACAGATTAACATTGAGATTTAAAATTTAGTATATGTCTTGAATTATGATATTCTCTTCTTTTGATTATAGATGAATATCTTCTATTTTCTTGATTTGTCTTTAATCTTCACCAGTCATACTCATTTTAAAATTTCTCTTGAATGAATTTAAATGTGTCATCAAATATCTTTCATCAGTCATGTGAAAATTAATATCAGTGTCAAGATATCATTGAGACTTTGATGATATTTTAGATAAATTATATAGAGCAATTGCAGAATTAATATTAGATTAAAATACAAGAAGATTTAATGTTTTATCATTAAAGTTATTATTTTTATTCTTATTTTTACTCTTCTCTCTTTTATTTTTTAATTATTATTCACTACTATTTTTATCAATATTCTTAATAATTTTATTTTTATTCACTTTTCTCTATCAATCAGTTACTAATTCTGAGTATAAACATCAATAAATTTTATTTATATACTTTACTTGATTGCAGATATTAAACTTTGAGATAAAAGATGATATATTAAATTACTTATTATCATTATCTGCATTGATAGTATTTGTTTTAAAGATTTTCAAATAGTCAGTCTTCTTTGTCTTGCTTGTATAATTGATTAATCATTTCATCAGATCATCAATATTTATATTGATAATTTAATCTTAATCTGTTGTATAAAAATTATTCAAACAAGTCTTAACAAAGACTCTTTGATGATTTTATAGACTTTTGAGAAAGAGATTATGATAAAAATTATCTATATTTTTAACTAACTTCTTTTAATATATAATTAAATAGTAAAATCTTCTCTGATAGATAAAATAATCATTATCTTTCATATAAAATGTAGAAAGCTTCTTCATTATCTTCATTCATTCTTCTACTAAGAAAACAATACATTTAATGCTAATTCTCTGTCATAAAGCAGCTGTGCTATCTGATTTCAGCTCTTTAGTTATTATCTATACAAGTTCTAACAAGAATTGAAGCATTTGTATAAGAGGTTAAACCCCTAGATTCGCTCTGGCTGGCTGACTCAGCCTAGCCATCGTTTGCACGTGAGCACGTGATCATGCTACGTCTCATTCTTTTCTTCCCTTTCTCAAGCAATTCATCCTTGTTATATAGGAGGACTAGCCTCTAACTCTTAGAGCTTAACCCTTTACATTATGAATTGCTTCACTCCTTTCATTGATAGGCCACTGGGAGTCTTAATCCTATATCATGAAGCTTAGTAAATGTGCTGACATATGATAGACTATTGAGAGTCTTAAATCCTGCATCACAAACAACATTGAAAATGTCTAGCTGAATGAGATAAAGCAGCAGACTTGTACAATAAATACACAAATGAATCAATGTGAAGCAATGAGCAGGGACACCCTCAGCAGCTTTGAATGACAATGAATGACCTTTCTTCAACAACAAGAACAGGTTCAGTGTGAGAACAGAAACTTAATAGCAGCTCAGTAAGCTGAAATAGCTAATCTATGACAAGCTTTGAACATCTCAATATCAATTCTCTCTCAATTGAACTCACAACCACTCATTGCAATCAGAAGATCAAAGATCAAGCTACTGAACTGTGAGAAGTATGATGATTTTAATCTAAAGCACAACTCTCAGTAAGAGCTAAAGCTTCAATCAAAACTTAAGATTGATGGAAAAGTTTTAGGTAATAATGAGAAATGTGCTTGGTATGTGTACTCAAGACTGGAAGAAATGACAGCAGCTTGAGTTTATCTCTGAGTTGAGAATAATAAGAACAAGATCAACTTCACAGTAGAGAGCTTACTGAAGCAGACACACATGATCTTTAGTGATTCTACATGATAGAAAAAGACTATGCAAAAGCTCAACAATCTATGACAGAGTAGAAGAGCTCTCTTTGACTTTCTACCTGAATTTAATCAGTTACTGCTGAAAACTGGTGGTCACAGATGAGATGATCACATTAAAAAGAGATATTTGAAATCCACTCTAAGCATGGAGCTGAGGGAAGACATGATGAGTGTAAGAAAACTGTCTTCCTATAAGAATTACTGCAAGGAGCTTAGATTAGTTAATCATCAACTCTCTAAGCTTAAGACTTTAATATAGTAGTATAAACATTGCAAGGACAGATCTTTTTCAGATCATATAACATCTAATTCACACTCTCTACTTTGTCATGCTGTTCTTGATTAATGAAATCAGTCTCAAGCTTTCACTGATGATCTGATGAATCTCTCTTCTGATGTAGTAACCTCAAGCACTCATCACATCAAATTAATAAATCAGACAGAGGTTAATTAATAAAAAGAGCAAGGCATGTATCTGAGATATGGAGCTGAAGGTCATATGATTAAGAGCTGCTTATTCAAATCTCTCAGACACTCTGTCACTGTCATAATAGCTAAGATGATTCTTAAGCTGGTACTGAACAATGATAATGTGAATATGAGTGAGAATTTGAGAAAAGAGTAGCTCCAATCAAAAAATACTAAAAGAAGCAAAATAAGAAGCTTATGAAGAAGCAATGAAGAAGATTTAAATCTAAGATGATATTTAAACCCTTCACTGTTGATGCTCTAGTAGATAATATCTTTTTGACTAGAGTAATAATAGACAGTGAATGTAATGTCTATGATCTTATTTCTCAATTCTATGTTAACAAGCATAAGCTCCTGTGCATTGAAATTCCCTCTGTTAAAATGACCAGCTTTGAAGACTCTATGAAACTCTCCATAAGCATGATGACTGGCATTCAAATTGATATAGATGGTCATATAACTGAATAGACCTTTCTCTACATGGTGAATAAGTTATATGGTTATGATATATGTCTAGGTGACCCCTGGCTGACTCAGCAAAAGGTGACTATGATTCTTCATCAAAGAATTATGAGATTTGAAGAGAGTGGTATAGAGGTAGAGTCTAGTTCAAATGCAAAAACTGATGTGATTCTCATCTTTGTCATAAGCTTCTCTAGGCTTGTGAGCACTTAAGAGAAGTGAAACATCAAGATCTTCACTATCAGTTTGGCCAACATTCAAAAGACTCTAGAAGTGAAATCAAAGATTGACTCTAGAGAAAAGCTGTCTGAATATTATCATGAGTTTTTGAATATATTTGATAAAGAAGCTATCAATACTCTACTCCTACTTTGTGGCCCAGATAGAGATCATGAGATTGAACTGATTAATGAGACTGATGATAGTACAGAACAACCCTCTTGAGACTCACTATATAATATGTCTCAAGAGAAACTACTGGCTTTGTGAAAGACTCTTACAGATTATCTAGATAAGAGTTTTATTAGAGTGAGCAACTCTCCTGCAGCCACTTCTGTACTATTTGCAAAGAAGTCTGAGAATGAGCTAAGATTCTGTGTGAACTATCAAGCTCTTAACAAAATCATCTGAAAGGATTGATATTCTCTATCATTAATCAGTGAGACTGTACAGTGAATTAGACAGGATAAATGATTCACTAAGCTGAACATTATTGCAGCTTTTCACAAGATTCAAATCACAGAAGATGATGAGTGAATGACAGTCTTTAGAACCAGATATGAGCTATTTAATTGACTGATTTCACTCTTTGATTTGACCAATGCTCTGAGTATATTTCAAAAATATATCAATTGAGCATTATGTAGATATCTGGATGACTTCTACTTAGTCTATTTAGATGACATCTTGATATTTTTCTCAAGAAGCTTACAAAAGCACTATGAGTATATATAAAAGATGCTTATGTGTCTACAGGAAGCAGGCCTGCAGGCAGATATCAGAAAGAGTGAGTTCAAAATGAACAGCACAAAATATTTTGAATTCATCATTGAAGCAGACAAGGGTATACAAATAGATTCAGAGAAGATTAAAGCTGTTTTGAAATGAATGACATCTACTACTCTTAAGAGTATACAAGGATTTTTAGACTTTATTAATTTCTATAGATGATTTATTAGAGATATCTCAAAGATCATGACCTTACTGACAATTCTTACATACTAGAATGTTCTCTTTTTGTAGATGAGCAAGGCTAAAGAAGCTTTTAAGTATCTAAAATCAATGTTTATCTTTGCTTCAATCTTGCTTCAATTTGACTCTGATCATGAGACTATATTGAAAACAGACTTCTCAGATTATGGTTCAGAAGAAGTACTACTACAATATGATGAGCAGAGTATTTTACACTCATGTGTCTTCTTCTCTCACAAGCATTCACCTGCGGAATGCAACTATGAGATTCATGATAAGAAGTTATTAGCAATAATTGAGTGTTTAAAGAAATGAGATGCTGAGCTACAAAGTATAAAGGAATTCAA